CACCGCCGGTGGCAAAACCGCCTCCTCCCTCCACACACACCCCCACACCCCCCCACCGCCTCTTTCACCGCACGGAAAGGAAATTAAAATCTGTTATCGGCTGCTTTAAAGACAAGTATTAGCCCCTCGATGATGTTAGCCAGCCAGCTATTTGATGGCATTTTTATGGGTTCAGGAGGAGTACCGCTCTCCTTATCTGCTATCGCACGTCGCCTAACGCTCTGTGTTAACAGCCCTCCCCCCTGCTGTCAAACCCTGGCTCCCACCTCGAAGGAAAATCATAGTTAATCCTGAATTATTTTCACAAGAATAACAGTTTCTTATCAAAAAAGTAAATCTTGCAAGACATCAGACGTTTTGAACTCACTAAATATTCCGTGATTGAAGATCACTTCAATATAGACCATACAATATAGACCACAATTAACTAAAGCCTCAGACTTCACCACTCTAGACTCCTTTTCTGTTAATTAGCTTCATTTCCTCTTCGGGAGAGGGAGGGAAAAAGAAGGCTAACCTTTAAAAAGATACTTTCGTCCACCCTCCTTCAATATGAGAGCAGGTAAAGGTTCTTAACGCCTTTCATATTTCCTTCTCTGCGAGACGTACAGTTCAAAGGTTGGAAATCCCTAATAAAATGTTATACTGGAGGAGCTGGTCTTGTGTTTTGGGGGCTTGTCACCACTGTTACACAGTTCTTTTCAGATTAAAGTCTTCATGAAAGTGCTCTCCACACTTCAGTGATCAGAACTGGGAGAACTACAATTCCTCGGTTATATGTTGTTAGGTTGTTTTTTTTAACATTTTGGTCATCTATCGTAACACATGGTGATAACACATCTTTAATACACAAGGACAATGTTCAAGTGAAGCTGATATAAAAAATAGTATTCCAGCTATAGGCGGGAAAAGGAGATTAGACAATCTGAGGCCTTTAAATCTTCTCTGGGTAATAAAAGACTATTAAATTCTTTAGGTATCTGTCAAGTATAAATGGTGATCTTATGTACATAATGTTTCATTTGGAAAGGGGAGATATGTGATCCTGTTTACCTGTTATAACAGGCGCTTTTTCCTTCAGATCGCATTTTCATGTGCTTTTATCGTAATAAAAGTTAACCCAGTTCCAGCTAGCTGCCACCTACTGGGATGTATAGTTTTACCGTATTACTTTATAAAGGAAATGGCTTTCATTTTCAGGACATAGCTGTGTCTCTAAAACCAATGATAAGAATTTTATACCACCTAATCTACTGTTTTGTCCTCTCCCAACAACAACTGATATAAATTTCCTATGTGTATAACATATGGTCCCCAAAGCTTCGTTTCTCGGACATTTTTGGGCAAATCCTTGCAAACCCTTCAGATACACATGCCACCACAGTCCTCCTGCTGTTGCAATCTGGTGTGATGAGAGCCATAGCTCACCGCGACACCTGACCAGCCTCGCCACATCTCCAGAAACGGAGTATTGCAGCTTTGCTGACAAAGCAGGAACACAGTCCTCCCTTTTTAAACGTTTGCCAAAGTATTCAAATGAATGTTGATATTACCGTTTAAAAACACATTGCGGCCCACTTGCACTTCACTCCCACCAGCTATAAAAACCATAGGCTCTCCTCTGTCTGTTATTAGCTCGGTCCAAATTTACAACCAAGTTTCTGCTGCACCGATGATTAATGACATTTTAAGACGGTAATTAATTTTTAGCTAGTGGAAAGACGTGCATTCTAATTAACGAGCTGAGTATGCAATGGACTTATTTGTTCAGGCACTTTGGGGTACCACAGCAATGCACTTTTCTAGCAGGTTTTAAACAGCAAGACCAAACATTTATGATATTATCTCAGATCAGCCTTTCGTCCCTTCGGTTTGTTTTGGGGTTGGGGAAGCTGTGAAAGATTTGGGGAGGAGAAGGAGGATGTTTAATGTTTTCCATACTTTACTCCCCCAAAAGTTTCTAAGGAAAACGTGAAAGAGGTTTTCATGATAATGTATTCATTCCTTTTCAGTGCGCACACGGCTCTTGCAATCATGCCTCCACTCCGTAGGCAGGAATGTCTCTTGCTTTACACAGAGTGTCAGCACCCTGGCTGGATTGGCGACGGATGCTCACCCAAAGAATGCTGAATTTGGTCAGAAATAAATGCCAGGGCTGCCGACAAGCCGAAAGAGGGGCTGGCTATGCTGTACGGTGGGGGCCGGGTAGGGACAGGAGGAGACCTCACAGAAGTACAGACTGTTGTCCACCCACAACTCTAGAGAAGTTAGATCCCGTTTCTCACCTCCGCTCCCTCAGGAGAAGGTGGGGGGGTGGGCACATCCTCAAGGCT